TACCAACAGTGTCTAAAGAAGGACAAACAGTGAATTGGCGACAGGGTCATGGACGCTCAAGGCTTGCTGATCATGAGGTTGACCTACTGTAGATTAAACTTTTACATTTCATTCATTCTTTTCAAAAGATTCCATTTAGGTTAAAGTTTTGTTAAAATGTCTGAAAATGAAAAATACTGTACACTGGTTTCTATGAAGAGAAACATTCAGCGGCTATAGTGGTGATATCACACCTAGACAGGGAAGGCTGTTGAATTTGTCTAAAAAGTTCTCTCTAGCTTGTCCTCACAAGCAGAGTTTTCACTCCTTTTACATGATTTTTTTATAGAATGGCCAACACATTTTTGCTCTTCCTGACAGTAGATCTATCACAGAAGATGCCCAGTACCGTATGACTACCCTAGTACTTTAACCACTCCTTTATGTTTGGGCTTAGCTTGCATGCTGTCAGCTACACACTGAGATTTCTTTTTCTCCTGAATGACCCACTAATCATTTTTCCATGGGCCTCTGGGATTTGACAATGTGTAATGTAAATGTCTCCACAGACCTCACAATAAACATCAGGGAAGTATTCATGGTTTTGTTCCCAGCAGTATGATGACCATTATTGTTATTATATGACCCTTTTTCTTTGTGTGTGTGTTTGTACCACTGTTTTTTTTTTTTTTTAGAATAGCAATCGTGAAACATCAAAGTGGTAAAATAAGAGAAGGCATCCTTCCTTTGAGGTGTGTTGTACTCAATGCACATTTCCTGTATTTGTTCTTCGCTTGTCTCTTATTCTCTCTGTTGTGTCCGAGCATGTTCATCCATCATTTTCAAGGCCAACATAATTTGTAAAGCATTTGAAAATCTCAGAACACATATTCAATATAGGCAAAAACTTACTTACACTGCATATTAAATGAAATTTAACTGGGGGTGACTGATTTTCATAGAACTTGATCAAATGGACTGTTTGGTCTAAATGTTTTTTTCTTTCTTTCCTTTTGAGCTTTCATTGAGAACATTGTGTTTTCCCCTGTTTATGAAAGGTTTGCCTTGTCTTTTGTTTTTCTGGAACACACACTGTTAGTACAACATACTAACAGAAGAAAAAAATAATGGATAGTGGATTTTGCAATCACTGTAACCCTGTGCTCCAGCAACCTAGAAAGTAATCTCATTCAAGATAAAATAATATTTTCTAACCTGCAGATGCAGTAAAAGCCAGCGATACACTATATGTACTAGGAATTTAAGGGATTGAACTCAGGTTGAAAAAGGCCCTTTGTTTAACTCACTGTAGCTCCCTTTTATTGCTATGCTGTGCCTTCACTTGCTTTCCTTTTCACAGACCACTGCTGGATGTTGGACATACGCAATCTGCAGTTGCCTGGTTCTCTCAGTAGTTAGACCTTTCCCCTCTTCCTTGACCTCTAG